GAAAAGTCAAACTATATATTATGCTTAAGTTACTCTGAAGCATGCAAGTTCTAAAGTTTAAAAACAATTCTCAGAATAATACCTTTTCGATAGTCATGAGATTTAAAGATACCAGAGATGCCACCAATCCTTACGCCTCGGTATTTTACTACCCCAGCCAAACCTGAAAAAGCACACAGTTAAATAAAATTACCATAGGCAGAAGCAATCTCTTTACTAACTAAATGAATAGTTTAAAGGCCTAGAACTCCATGCAATCCTAAAATTATTTGAAAATTAAATGTCATGATGAAGTTACTCTTTTACATAGTGATATGTCAACAATATATAAGGCAGACTATGGAGGAGAGGCCTAGAAGCAGAGAGGCAAGAGACTAAGCAGAAGGGAAGGAACAAATGAGATTAGGTGAGTTAAGGGAGAAACAGACATAATTTGGTACCTAATCGAATATTACAGTGGGTTGGGGGGGAAATAAGGAAAAATGTCCTATGATGGATTTATAGATTATAAATCTGAAAGTCAACAGATATAAAGAATCTGCAGTTTCAATACTTCATTTCTGACTGACCATCTCAAACATCTTCTCACAATATTGCAGCTGTCAAAAGATCAACCAGTAACAAAGTAGAGAAATTACATTTCTTAAATTATGATGTCAGCATTAGAGCTATAAAGATTTTATTTATTTGAGGGAAAGAAAGCACGAGCTAGGGGAGGTGCAGAGGGAGAGAGAGAATCTCTCAAGCAGACTCCACGCTGAGCAAGGAGACCAACGTGGGGCTCTACCTCACAATGCTGAGATCATGGCCTGAGCCGAAACCCAGAGTTGGATGCTCAACTGAGTGAGCCACCCTGGCGCCCCACTATAAACACTTAAAGAGAAGAAAGGACTGTATAGTCTAACAGGACTAAAACTGAACCTGAAAATAATCAGGCTGTGAATCTAAACACAGATTACAAGTAATGCAGAGCATAAAAGGAACATGTTAAACAACATGAGAAATTCCAATCAGCTAAATCCAGAAAGCAGGAAATTCTATAAGACAAATTTCTCATTTTCCTCAACAAATAAACAACATGGGGTGGGGGAGAAAAAGGGACCGTTACAGCCTAAGAGGCTTTAGAATCATGACAGTCAAATGAAATGTGTGGACCTGGTTTGGAGTCTATTTGAACAAGCCAGTTGTAAAACCAACCTCTTTGTGATAATCACAAAAATCTGAACATGAACTAGGCAACAGATGATGGGAATTACTGCTACTTTAGTTAAGTATAATAATGGTACTGTAGCTGTGATATTTTTAAAAATCCTTATCTCTTAAAAATATGTACTGAAGTATTCACAGGTGAAATAATCTGATGGCTGGGATTTGTTTTACAATACTCCAGTCACTTCTTCCCACAAATAAGTGTGGAGGGGAGTGGGGTTGAAATAAGGATGGCAGAATGATAATAGTTGTTGAAGCTGGTTAATAGGTACAAAGACTCATTATACTATTCTCTATTTTTGTGTATGTCTAACAACTTCCATTATAATAAGTTTAAGTTTTCTTAATTTAATAGAGGAAGAGAAAAATAAAGGGACTGCAAATAGTGTAACAGGCCTTCACAACTATATTTATTACTACTACATTATATTATCTATATTGCTTAAAACACTAGATGAAGCATGGACATATTTTCATGATTACCTACTTAAATTAACTGTTTTAATTAAATTTTCATAATTATTTAAATTAAGAGGCATTCCCAAAAAAACTATACACCTCAAGATGCTGCCCAACTATTATACAAATCCTGACAGGCTCTTCCATTCCAAACAAATCAAAAAAATTACTCACGAACACATACCTAAATAATAAATGTTTGGCGCCACCCAGCCACCATAGGGTAACTCTTGCAAATGATTTGAGGCTTCATGGTTTCCCCCAATGAAAATTGTGAGAACTGGGGCCTTTTTCTCTCCAGAGTAATACCTAGAACATAACGGTAAAGTTGTCAGTTGGCATAGCAGAAATCAGGCATAGAGAAAAGCAGTAACTCATGCCTATAAAATTGGGCATAGCAGAAAAGCAAAATAAGATCCAAAGGAAAAATCTGAGCGCACTATAAAAAATTAAAAAGGTCTTTCTAAACGAATTGCCTATACTTGTCCTTAAGAATGAAGGGGCTGACACCTTGGATTCAAAGCCAGAGTGCGTTCAATGAGGTCAAGAACTTTGTCAGTTCTTAAACCTTAGCTTCTAGAACGCGGACGAGCACTAAGCAGGCGTCCAATAAAAACTCCTGGATCAGTAAATAAAGCAGTCCCAGAGTCCTATCAAGTACAAGATAGATTGACCTGTCAGCTTCTTCCTGCAGGTTTTTCCCTTAGGCTTCGATTTCGGAAACAGACAAGACAGGTGAAAGGAAATGAGAAAAGTGACATTTACTAAGCAACCGTTCCTAGACACAGCGTGAACAAAGAAGGTAACTAAGTAAGCCAGCTAGTCAGTGGAAGGGGGGGAATTCGAATCCAGTCCGGGTTCTCTCCCACGAGGTCCGGGCCGCGCCGCTCACCTGTAGAAGGTCTGCATGTGGCGGTACTTGGGCGGGACGGCCATGCAACGCAAGTCGGCCTCGTTGCGCACCGCCTGGAAGTCGCCGCAACACAGCAGAAGATCTATCGGCCCGGGGCCGCGCCTCTCCGCCAGCGCAAGCGTCTCATAGATCTTGTCCAGCTCGCCGTGGCAGCAGCCGGCCACAGCCACCCGCATCCTACCGGCTCGGCTCGAGGCGGGGAGCGCTGCCCGCAAGCCCCTACACCAGAGCCAGCCCAGGCCGGACAGCAAAGCGCGCACTGATCGCTCAGCTCCCGCCAACACTGACTGAGCCCACCCCTCGAAAAGACGCCTGAAATAGAATTCACTTCCGGTTTCCAAATCTCGCGAGAGATGGATAGACAGGGGCAAGAATCACAGGATTTAAGAGCGCTTTATAATCGGCTGGGGCTTTGCTTGTGTTTCTAGGTTCTTGAATTCTAGCAGTCTGACGGATGATAAAAATCAAAACGAGGGAACTCTGGGTGGCTCAGTCGGTTAAGCGTCTGCCTTCGGCTGAGGTCAGGATTCCCAGAGTCCTGGGATTGACTCCCCCATGGGGCTCTTGTTCAGTGAGCAGTCTGCTTCTCCCTCTGCCTGCCGCTCGCGCTCTCTAATAAATAAATAAAATCTTTTTTTAAAAAAACCAAAACCAGAATAGTTGGTTTATTTTTTTTAGACCCAGAAACAGTAGTTTAGTTTGATAAAATTAAGCCAGACTAAACAAGTGAGACCGTGGGATTGGCTAATTCCCTAGGACAAACCTCTCAAGGCAAAGATAATTGCCTGAAAGCTTACTAGAAATTAAAAGATTTTTTAAAAGACACATCAAACTAAAAATAATTTTTTTAAATAAAACTTAAAAACTCGCTGAGGGTTTCTAAATTACCCACTGAAGAGTTTCTAAAATTATCAGTTATTTTTTTTTAAAGGGGCCGGGGACTCTTCTTCTTCCTACCAAATAGGTGTTTGCATAACTAGACTGCAAGCTCAATGAAAGCAGAAGAATGTCTCGAAAACGTCCAGGAGAGAAAAGAATCAAACAACTGAAAAATGAGTGACCAAGACAGAAAAAGCAAAACACCACTGGCCAATTTAATCGAGAAAAGTAATCTAATCAAGATAATACAGAGAGTAACAAATCCATCTCTCATTTTTAAAAAATGCATAAAATAACATTATAGGAAAAAATGACGCCAGAATTAATTCAAAAGTAAGCAGAAGATGTTAACAGACCATGACAATAAGAAAATACTGGAAAAGTGGAAGAAATCCATTGAAAGACATTGTACCCAGAGTGGCTTACAGGCAATTTCTTTCAAATGTACGAGATATAACTTCCATTATGCTTAAACTGAACAAAAGAGAAGCAAGGAATGGAAATCTAGTATTTCCAATTCTTTTTAATACTATGTTTTCCTTCTGATTTGGATTTTTAAATATATAAGATGCTTTTTACAGCATTGCTAAATTTAACTTTTTCCATTTGATTTTTTAAATTTTATTTAAATTCAATTAACATAGTGTATTATTAGTTTCAGAGATACAGTTCAGTGATTCATCAGTTGCATATAATACCCAGTGCTCATTACATCAAGTGCCTTCCTTAATGCCCATCACCCAGTTACCCCACTTCCCCACCCACCTCCCCTCCAGTAACCCTCAGTTTGTTTCCCATAGTTGAGTCTCTTATGGTTTGTCTCCCTGATTTCATCTTATTTTATTTTTCCTTCCCTTCCACTATGATTCTCTGTTTTGTTTTTAAATTCCACGTAAGAGTGAAACCATATAACTGTCTTTCTCTGATTGATTTGTTTTGCTTAGCATAATACCCTCTGGTCCCATCCACATCATTGGAAAGGGTAAGATTTCATTTTTTTGATGGTTGAGTGCTATTCCATTGTGTGTGTGTGTGTGTGTGTGTGTTATATATATGTATATATATACATATATATCATATCTTCTTTATTCATCTGCTGATGGACATGTGGGCTCTTTCCATAGTTTGGGTATTGTGCACATTGCTGCTATAAACATTGGGGTGCAGGTCCCCCTTTGGATCACTATGTATCCTTTGAGTAAATACCTAGTAATGCAATTGCTGGGTCATAGGGTAGCTCTATTTTCAACCTTTTGAGGAACCTCCATACTGCTTTCCAGAGTGGCTGCACCAGCTTGCGTTCCCACCAGCAGTGTAAAAGTGTTCCCCTTTTTCCACACCCTTGCCGACATTTGTTGTTTCCTGACTCATTCATTTTAGCCATTCTGACTCATGTGAGGTGGTATCTCATTGAGGTTTTGATTTGTATTTCCCTGATGTTGAGTGATGTTGAGCATTTTTTCATGTGTCTGTTGGCCATTTGGATGTCTTCTTCGGAGAAATGTCTGTTCATGTCTTCTGCCCGTTTCTTGACTGGATTACTTATTTTTTGGATATTGAGTTTCGTAAGTTCTTTATAGATCTTGGATACAAGCCCTTTATCTGATAAGACACTTGCAAATATCTTCTCCCATTCTGTCGGTTGTCTTTTGGTTTTGTTGACTGTTTCCTTTGCTGTGCAAAAGCTTCTTATCTTGATGAAGTCCCAACAGTTCATTTTTGCTTTTGTTTCCCTTGCCTTTGGAGACATGTCTAGTGAGAAGTTCCTGCAGCCAAGGTCAAAGAGGTTGCTGCCTGTGTTCTCTAGGATTTTGATGGATTCCTGTCTCATATTTAGGTCTTTCATCCATTTTGAGTTTATCTTTGTGTGTGGTGTAAGAAAGTGGTCCAGTTTCATTCTTCTACATGTGGCTGTCCAATTTTCCCAACACCATTTGTTGAAGAGACTGTCTTTTTTCCATTGGATATTCTTTCCTGCTTTGTCGAAGATTACTTGATCATAGATCCATTTGATTTTTAATCTACAGGAATTATCATTTTCTGGATCCCTTTTTCTTCCATGTAAAATATTTTAATTGAGGTCCAATTTGAAGTAACATGAACAAATTAAAACTTAAGAGTCCATTTTGATGCATTTTTACATATGTAATCACCCATATAACCACCACCCATATCAAGATATAAAATATTTCCAGCATTCAGAAAGGCTCCTTTGTACTTCCTCACAAGTCCCTACACCCAAAAGAAAAGCACTATTCTAATCTCTATCAACATAGATGAGCTTTGCTTGTTGTTTTTTTTCTAATTCCTGTATAGTTAACATACAGTGTTATATTAGTTTCAGGTGTACAATATAGTGACTCAACAATTCTATACATGACTCAATGTTCATCATAAGTGGACTCTTAATCCCCTTCACCTATTTCACCTTTGCTTGTTTACAAACTTCATATAAATGTCAATATATATTATGAACTTAATTTAGTGTCTGTGAAATTCATCTGTAAGTCTATAATATAAATAGATATAATCATAGGATGCTGTTTCTTATTACTGTGTAGTATTCCATGTGTGAACATACCACAGTTTGCTTGTCTATTGTCCTGCTGAAGGACAATTGTGTTGTTTCTACTTTGGGGCTATTATGAATAAAACCACGATGTACATTCTTGTAAGAATCTTTTAGTGGACATAGCACTTATTTCCCTTGGATTATGTCCAGGAATATAATTTCTGGGTATAGAGTAGGTACATGTTTAGCTTTGATAGCTAGGTCAGTTTCCAAAGTGTTCCAATTACACTTTCCTAAGGAATATAAAACATTCCAATTATTCCATGTGCCCAATGGCCTTGGTATTGTCTGCCTGTTACATTTTAGCCATTTCCTTACATTTTCTGCAATGGTATCGCCTTATGATTTCCATGCAGAGTTTATAAGAAAATTTTAATATATCAGTCTTTTGGATTTTCTTTTGTGACCAATAGGAAACAATAACCTAATACCATAACATTCAAAAACTAGTGGTCAAAGCAGGAAATAAAAGATGAAAATAAGGATGAAGTGCATTGTGGCTCAGCTCCTGTTTCCAACCCACACCCCATTTCTAGAGGCCATACCAGTGAGTAAACAAACGAGAATTCTCACTGACTTTCTTAAATCCAGAGAGAATCAAATTTAGTAGAAAGTCTCACCCTCTTCCCATTCTGAATGAGGAGAAATAGAAAAATTGTTGGAGAAAAATGGATTGAATGAACAATGAAGATAATTCTTTTTGAAAATGTGAAAAGGCACACTCACTGAACAGACAGGTACCCTCAAAGTGTGTGTGTGTAGTCCCATGGGGAAACAAACAGGTCTCAGACCTGCTGGGAAAGAAATTCCTTGATTCTATCAGAGCAAAGGCAATATCTAGATAGAAGCACTCAGCAATGAGCAAGATGAAAAGTGAAACCACAAGTTACAATGGAAATATGCTAAAAAGAGCATAATCTGGGATGAGGCTGAACAGGTGTTCATTAAAACTTCTTAGGGACAACCAGACCTTGGTGTCTAAATACCATTCCCCTCTAAAAGAAATGAAGTCTTGTTGAAGTAGTTGATTCTAGGACAGAGAAAGTACAAAATGAACATGGATTATCTTGTGCAAGAAAGCAAGGAAGTGTTCAAAGAATCTCAGATATCAAAAGACACCGATTGAAGGTCTTGCCACTGGCCACGTCTGAAACAATTTCAGCATCAAAATGAATAATCATAGTAACAGGCTATAGGCCATCAAATAAAGTAGGAATATACTACAATTGACCCTTGAACAATGTGGGGGTTAGGGGCACAGACTCGCACACTATCAAAAATCCATGTATAACTTAACTACCAATAGCCTACTGTTGACTGGAAGACTTAATGATAATGTAAACAGTTAAGTAACACATATTTTGTGTTTTATATGTATTGCATAGTGTATTATTACAATAAAGTAAGCTGGACCCAAACAAATGTTATTAGGAAAATCATACGGAAGAGAAAATACATTTATAAGTACATAAGAAAATACATTTTCTTATAAATACATTTATAAGAAAAAAATCCATGTATAAGTGGACCCGCACAATTCAAACCCATGTTGTTCAAGGGTCAACTGTATTCTATACTGATATAAATAAATAATAGGGGAAAGAGAGGGATCTTATTTACACAAGAATGCTGATTGGTAAATATGGAAGGAAAGTTGGATTAGAGATAACCATTTTGTCATCATCATCATCATTGTTTCAAGCAAGAATATTCAACTAATGCTAAAACCACTGAGTAAAACTTTAGAGAGCAATAGGATACTTACATAGTTTCAATGTATCTATTATTTGAGACTACTTATATAGTCTCAAAGTATCTTTCCCAAAAGATACTTATTATAACACAAAGAAAAATAAGCATTTTACA